ACAGCGGTGGGAGCCACTGCCCCCAACCATCCCTGTGCCTGCCCAGCCCTAGCTGGACAGTGCTTACCCCAGCCCTGGTCTCAGCCCCAGCCCCTCCCTCACTGCGGGGGGCGTTGATCTGCCTTCCCAAGCCCCTTCCCTTCCCCCTCCCCTTCCACACTTACCAGCTGCACGCAGTATTGACCGTTGTAAAGATGAAACCTACACTAGAACGTCAAAATGGGGTGTCAATTTATAAACATCGTAAGTGATGCTCATCACAACTTGAAAAGTCATAAATTGATGACTGCCTGTAGTTTGTATTTTGTACTCGGGGCCTGATTATTATCTCATACCATATTTATACCAGGTTAACTCCATTACCTTTAGCAAAGTAATCCTCATACTTGTATATGAGATCAGAATCAGTCCTCCTTTCTCTGGGATCCATGCAGCTTTTATACTACATCCCTGTAATTTCATTTACCAGGTAGGTTTAATGATAGTTTCAACCACTGGGGGTAAAAATTCATAAACATCAAGGATGGTGTCATGGATGAATGGTGATTATTGCATGCATTACTGTCATTTGCAGTAATTGTATGGTGATGCCAGGGACACCCCACTGAAATGAGAGTCTCATAGTATTATACACTGCACAACTACATAGCAAATTGTACCCTTCAGGGTATTACCTGCACAAGAAGGATGAAAAAGGAAAAGCATTAGCCATAAAAATACTGATGGCATTAAAACTGAAGTAAGACATGTTGGGTGCTGACAGACATGGAAAAAACCTCAAACAATGCTTTGCCAGAAGAGGAATTACATCAGTTTGACCTGGCTCCCCAACATCCATATCGCTGTAAGCACCCAATGATGTGAGCAAATGAGGTCATACTCGAGAGAAACCTCATAGTTTACTGAAAAGTAAAAAGTGACTGAAAACACAGTGTTCACTAGTTCCTTCATCTTGGAGTCAAATTACCTGTTTCTTATGTCAGTTTGGTACTTTGGTAGAATTACTTCTGGTTTATAATTGAATAGAGAATCAGAATCCAAAGCCTTTAGTTTAGAGTTTAATCTTCCCCAGTCCTCTGATAGGAGGAAATTTTGCTATACTTTATAACCCAAATCCTTCCCTTCACTCAACTCCTCATGCTGCAACTCCTAGTGTCCAAAGCCTGAGATGAATTAAGCTTATGCAGCCTTCCTCATTTTTCCCTTTTAAAATGGCTTTTATGGCCTGAAAGGCTATTTTTTATTACTGGATGTTCCACTCTGGGAAACTTTCATTATGCCAATATACCACAAGGCTGAGTCATCCCTGATGCATCCTAAACTAAACATCAAGGCTGCTCACACTGTTGGTCTTTGAGTTACTGGAGGTTTATGTGGCTCTCTCTTAAAGGAGCAGAGAAAGAAATTGTCTGGATTAATCTATATTCAAATTACACATAACAATCCAAGCCCAGTTACTATATCATTTATTTTCCATAGTCTTTAGCAGCTTTTGGGCCCAAAAAAGCATAAGTTAGCACCACGCTAGCACTTCTGGGCCTGAGCTCAATTTGTGACGAACATGCTCATTTGAGAGGCTTGCTTCACAGAACTTTTTAAGCTTTACATTCAGTCACCTGGGTTAGAGAGAGGAGAAGCTTACTTTTGAGAGGGGGCTATTTTACAGAATCATTTTGCCCACACTCAGGTGTCTTGCACTGGACATTGGTGGATTTCAATACTGTAGAGCAGTGGGCACTGACCTTTCTGGTAGGTGTGCTACAGATTAGCCCTGCTTCCTTCCCAAGTGCCACCCTGATACCTTTCCCCTCCCCAATCTGCTGTTTTGCTTTCTGCTCCTAGTACTGTGCTCCCTACCCAGTCTGTTGCTCTGCTTTCTGCTTCCTTTCCTGTGCTCCCTGCCTGCTTTTCTTTCTGCCCTATCTGCCACTGTGCTGCCTGTCCCATCCCCTATCTGCTGTGTGCCACACACACAAGCTGCATGTACCACTTACGATACCCATGCTGCACTTTGGCCGCTTCTGCTATAGTCAGTTATCTGAATAAGATATGCTGCCAACCTGCATGGTCTGTTGCAAAAGTGAGCGCCCTAATGAGCAAAGAGGAGAACTGTTTTAACGACTGAAAAAAATGGAAATAGTCAGCAAAGTGAACAAAGTTTATTTATAATATACACTGTATTATACATACAGATGTTCTTTCGATATGTGTTTCATTAGCCAAACAATTGGATTTTACAGGTTTTTGTCTCAGTTAGTTTGTATAAATGGTTCTCTACTACATTTATTCATCAGTATTAGCTCTTCTCATTTTCCTTTTCTATTTGTTAAACATGCCCCAACCTATAATTATTATTACCATAATTATTACCTATTTCACTTCCATGTTTCTTTCTCATTAATTCTATGATGGTTAAAGTGAAATTAACTTATGACATTTTAACAACCCTGATTTAACACTGCTGGCTTTAATGGAGTTAAGTAATGAATTTTACTCCAAGAGGTACCATAGGGCTACCATACAAAGCCAGGGCTGGAAGGAACCTTAAGAGGTCATCCATCTCCCAGTGCTGAAGCAGAATAAGCATATGTAGCCCATCCCTGTTAGATATTTGTCTAAGACCCCCGTCTACATGTGCAGGTAAAGGTGCAAGGGGATTTAATGCACAATCCACACAAACCTCATGAGGCTTGCATGGGTGGCAGTGTTCTCCTTGCTGCCCCCACTGCAATCCCTGCATCTGATGGGGCTCAGGGTGGGGGCAGTGTTCCCTATGCAGCCCCCACTGTGAGCCCTGCAGCCCACATCACTGCCCCTGCTGCGAGCTCTGCAACCAGGAAGGCTTGCAGGAGGGACAGCATTCTCCCCCTGCAAGCCTCGCAGCTGACAACACTGCCACCATTGCAAGCTTTGTCAGCTGCAGTGTTGGCAGCAGGTGGTGCACCCCTGTGGCTAGGAGCCCATCATGAGGCTCATAGAGGTGGCAGTGTTCTCCTCACTGCCACCACTGTGAGCCCTGCAGCGACATGGGCCACAGGGCTCATAGTGGGGGCAGCGAGAACACTGCCACTGCTGAGAGCCATATGAGGTTTGTGTAGATTGTGCATTTGTCCTCATTGTGCCTTTGCGAGCACGTTGATGGGGCTCCCAGTTGATGGAACTCAGTTGATGGGGCTCACAGACACAAGGGACTAGCTGGCCACATGTTCCGTTAATGGCATGATTAAAACAAGCTACAAAGTTATTCCACATTTTTTGTGGAATAACTTTGTAGCTTCTTGCTTGTTTTATCATGCCATTTATTGGTTAAACATATAACTGGGTCACATCTTAAGGTGTGATTAACCAGGTACTTGTGTCCTAAGTATAATGTGTAGGAGGGACCTTAGAAACATCTAAGGAGGGATAGCCTGTTTGAGCACTTAATTATCCTTACATGCTTTGAATGTTTTTTCAAAATATCAAACATACATTTCTCTTGCTGCTAGCTAAGTTGGTTACTTCTTGTGCAACCCTCAGTGCATACACTTGATCACTGTCCTCTTCAAACAACCTTTTATATATTTGAAGATATTTTTGCAGAACTGTGCTTTACAAATATTACTCAAGCCTGTACAGGAAAGTGTGGCTATTCATCTATGGCAGTGATTCTCATCAGGGGGAAGGGGAACCCTGGGGTGCTATGACAAGGGTGATGCAGGAAGAGAGTGATGCAGGAAAAGAGGAGATAAGCAAAAAGGTTTGGGGAGATGTGTGCAGCCTATGCTGTTCCAGGCATTCCTCCTCCCCACAGCTCACTGCAGTGCAGGCTCTTCCCTGCCAGCTGCTCCTCCTCTTTTCTAGCCCCTCTTCAAGCAGAGAAGCACTATAATAAATAAATTAGTTTTTGAAATAGGGCACCGCTCAATTTAAAAGTTATGGAGGGGTCCCTCATACCTAACGAGGGGTGCCTCAGTCTAAAAAAGGTTGAAAACCACCCACCTATGACTAATGAACTTAGAGAGAAGTTGAACTCTACACTAATACAACCATTACAGGGCTTAATAGAGGTACTTGTTGAAATTGGAATTACATGTTATATGAGCATGGATTATAGTTTCATAGAAATCTAGAGCAATTTCACTGACTGCAAAGAGGAGTTATACATGCGGAACTAAGAGCAGAATGAGCTCCTTTATTTTTAGCCTGCAAGAATTATTCCATCTGCTGAACTATCGAGAAGTTTTATGTCTTACCAATGGCTTTCATGAGGCTCAAGTGATAGTCTGTTTGAATCTCTTCTTGTAAACTCTGAAGCAATTGCTCCAGGTTTGGATTGGTAAGGAAGTCATCTGGAATGTGTTTTAAAATCATGTGCATCACCTCTTTATCCTGGGGTGCCAGCATGTCTTTCCGTACTCCATTATGTATATAATAACAATATCTCTGTAACAAACAAAAAAATATCCTGACTATATTAGCTGTTAATACAGGTGCCTTTTATAAAATGTTTTTAGTTTTGTTTTTTAATATTTTCTCAGTGCTTTTTCCAACTAAGTAGCATGCTGTGGATACTTCAAATGTTGATTCCTTTTGAACCAGCTTTTTTTTTTTTTTTTACAGTAGTTCCCTCTGCTTTGATGCATTGTACTTAAGTCAGCCCAGGGCAATTTGCTAAATAACTGATCTCTGAAGCACAGGCCAACTGTATGAGAGGTTAAGAATTTGACTAGACACAGTTAATTGCAATTAACAATCTGTCAGAGAATCCAGAGTGGGGAGAAGGAAAATATTCAAAGAAAGAAGAGGTGGGAAAGAATTGAGATAGCATAGGGCTAAAGACAGATGTAAATGTGATTTGTTGTATTTAATTTTTATACCTCCTTTAGTACATAGAAGTTTTATTTTTTCAACTATACTTTTAAATGGACATCATTGTACATGGTTATATTTCTGATTATGATCATCACCACATTTCTTAACCTTAAAAAAATAAATACCTCGATATCACTGTTTGAAGGCAGTTTTTCTTGCTTAAATATCTCCTCCTCATGTAAGTGCATGACAACAAATTGTTCTTCTGGAGTCAACGGATGGCTGTCTGAATAAGGTATCGTGCTCTTTTCTGGTATATGTCTACATGCATAAAACAAATCTGAATCAGAATTGTACAATTGTTTGGCATAGCTCTGAAACAACAGAACACCAGTTCAGTAAACTGAGAAGCTGAAATGAATTCTTATAACAATCTGGCCAAATTCAACCTGGATATGATCCCATGATATGAGGCTAAGGATGAATATGACCTATTATATGCTCAGCGAACAAGTAAAGCCACATATGCTTAGTAAAGTCACATAATACATGCCAAAATAATATACTATTTTGCCTCATTCCAAATCATTTTTCATCATGAAAACTGGCCATGGCCTGCCATGGAGCCCAAGCTGCTCAGAACAGCGGCAGGGAGGTTGCAAACAGCTACACCAAAGTCTGTAGAGCCCCAGCCCAACTCATCACTGGCAGCATCTGTACGCACACCTCCAGGCAGGTGTCAGGGGAGGGGCCAGGTTTGTGCTGCCCTGGCCCCTTCCCCACTGTGCACCCCAAGGTGTGCATGAAACTGCTGCCACCATGGAGCCCCACTGGGGCTCCAGACCCTGGTGCAGCTTTTTGTAGCCTCCCAGCTGCACGCTGCAGCTGACCCAGGCTCTGGACAGCTGCTGCCTGCCGCAGAGCCTGGGCTGCTTGAAACATGGCTTGCAGACTCCTGGCTGCCTGCTGTAAGCAGCCTGGGCTCCATGGCTGGCAACAGCTGGCTGGAGCCCAGGCCGGCTATGGCGTGCTAAGCAAAATGGCCTTGCATGCCATGGTCTCCCATGTGTGCTGCAGGTTGCTGACTCCTGCACCATGGACTCAAGACACCTGAAGGTTGAATGGGAGGAGAGAAAGAATGAATGAGAGTCCTGGGGTTCAGGTAAGAAAACAGCAAATGGGTGGTTAACAGCTTAGGACTAGGAATGTGGGGCAAGCCTGCAACTAAAGGTGCAGGCAAAAGTGACAATTTTTGCCTGATCTGGCCACAAAAAGCAGCTTACAGCTGTGACCAAACACAGGTGCAGAGCTACAAACAGCTTCAAAAATGGCCAGTTGGGTGAAAATCTGACCCCCTTATGCGGTATCAGATAAAGATGTTGCAAAATGTAGGGTCTTTTGTAACTTGTGTCTGTGGAGCTCCTAGCCTGTCATTTTTTTCAGAAAGGAAGCAGGGAAAAGGAGCAGAGGGAGTTCAGTCTGGGGGGTTTTCAGCACCCCCTGGAGGGTGGAACGGGTGTACTGGAGCTTCCCCAAGGTGGGGGGCTCCAATTCACCCACCCTTCAGCACCAGCTGGGAAGCCCCAAGAATGAGCTACCTCTGCTGCCCTCCCCCCATTCTGAAAACTGAGCACTGGCAAAGAGCCTGGCCATTGCTATAGGAACTTGGCTGCAGTCTCCCAGCTGCAGCTAGATTCCCCTGCCCCCTGAACCAACACTGAACTTCTGTTTGGTCTGGGGTAACCTTGTAACTCGGAACACTTTGCAAAACTCATCCTGAGTTACAACTGGGAGCTGCACTTCTGTCTGCACCCTAGAACAAGTAATCTGGGAGGGTGAGATTAAGACTTGTTGGGTAAGGAAATTGGGAATCAGATGAGAAACCTGGGAATGGAGACTGAACCTGTGTGAGGAAGGAGAGTGGGGCTGGGGGGAAAGTTCAGTAGTAGGGAAGAGGCAGACCTAGGACAAGAACAGGTTGGAAGGAGCAAAGGACAGAGGATCAAGCTAGGGAGAATGGATAAATGAGTATTTTGCCTACTGAAAGATTCCTCTATATAGCCTAGAATAAAACCAAACATTCCTGAGTCTTTCCTGAGTCCTTCTTTGTCAGCAAATATTTATTAAATCTACTGGCAGTGTCCCAGCCCTTCTAGTGCTAGTTCACATACAGAATGACAGCGCACTACTGCTACCAGTATACTCCATTAGTACAAACAAGGCAGGTTTTTGTGGTGTACCCAAAAGTTCTAACCTGATGCCCCATGTGGGTGTTACTATGACCCCAGGTGATGGAATTCCCATTTTTTTCCAGCTTGTTTTTTTAAATCTTAGGAAATCGTACATGGAAGTTCCATGAAAAAATATTGTTAAGCTTGCAAAGTCAAGTATTCAAAAATTAGGAAATACTAGAATGAAGGCTGCCTGTACAACTTTAATTAGGATCCCCTAATCATGGTTTAATTTCATGTGTAATTTCATGATTACACACTATTTTTTACAGGACCCCTGCCTCATTCATTGCACAGGGCAGACAATGCACACTTACTGAGCAGCTATTTCAGTAATTGTTCTCCTCTCTTTTCAATGTGTCATTATGTCTTAAACAATTCAAACCCACCTCTGAGAAGAAAATTACTAATTTGCTAAAGGGCTTTCTTATGGTGCTCATCACAATTATTTGCTGCTCATCACAATTATATCACAGGTTGTTAAACCATTAATTAGTTTATTTTCATAAGTAGCTTCTACAGCCACTACTACCCCCATTTTACAGATAAGGAGCTGAGGCACATAGAGATCAGGGTAAAGGCATCCATGGATTCTAGATAGCCAAAGATATTTCTGGGACCTAACTTTTCAGAGAACTTAGTATCATAGAATAGTTCATGCACTCACAGCATGACTTCCACTGCCTTCAGTTGCAATTGTGAGTGCTCAGCATTTTTGCAAATAAGATTTCAAGTCAGTAAAGGAGAAATGTAAAATTAATGACCACCTGTGACTTGACTAGCATCACATAGGAACTCAAGTCTCAGGTGCAGTTTCTGACTGCCTGAACTAGGAGGACATCCTCTCTTCCTGAAACCACCAGCCTCAATAACTACAAATGTTTCAGCCTCAGCAACAATAAGCAGGGGTTCTACAGTCAGTAGTCTCCTTTACCACACAAACCTGTGTCATCCCAGAGCAGGTCCATCCTGTGCATTAAATGAGGCATAGACCCTGCAGAAAGCAGGATATATGGAAAGACCATATCATGTTACCTCTGCACAAAGAGACATAGAAAACCTTAATGTTGGTATTTCCAAAGTTCTGAGTGGTTGGCTTTGCACTCTGAATAACAATCCTTTTGCACAGATTTTGTGTGCATGTGTGCAAGAATTTATAGACATTAATGAAATCATAAATTGTTAAGAAACATGAAAGGCTCTTACTAAGACAGGTAGGCTCAGAGCAGTAGTATATCTAATTGTTTAAAATGACTCTAATGAAGATTGCTCCTATACACCATCCTAGTAGGTATTTTAGCTGCTTCACATTATTTGTATTATTATAGACTGAGAAACTAAATTAAAAAAAATATCAGAGGTGGATGTCTAATTGAGATTTTGGGGACAGTTTCTCTCCTGTGCCTTTACGGGTGTGAACACACAAGCACTTGGAGCCCTTTCAAAAGGGGAACTTTCAAAAGGACAGCAGCTGGTAGTTCTAATTGTTAAGTATGAATGAACTGAGAAAAATTCAGACGAAGCAAAACCACTCCAACTTTAACCTGAAGGAGGGAGTGTTATAATCGGAGCTGGTTTTGCTGCTGCGTTTGAATTGTTCTCAGCTTATTCACACATAACAATTAGAATGTACCAGCTGTTGCCCTTTTGAAACTTACTCCTTTTGAAAGGGCTCCAAGTGTTCATGTGTTGACACCCAAAAGAGGTACATCATACCTGGCAAAATCCAGGAGACAGGTGGTACCTTTAGCCACCTCTGTGCTAACAAGATTTTGTGCTAACTATAGACCAATATGGCCTCTACATAAATCATACTGTATAGCAGTTTTGTCTGGGATGCCTATAAACTGGACCCAGCCCAGAGCAGCTCACAATCCCCCTAGTACTGAGCACCCTCCCCTTCCTCTCACTGGTCCCTGCAAGGAGGGCACTATTAGCCAGTTTAGGAACACCCTATGTGTCTGATTTGGGGGTATTCTCTCCTGGCTGGCTGCAGCACCTTTCCAGCCTGCACCATGCAGAGGCAGGGGACAGAACCAGCTCCTTTATTTCAAAACCAAAAACATGATATTGAATAAGCAAGAAGAATATAAAGATACCATGGAAAAAGCATTATTTCCCCCACTATCTGAAGGTAATGTGAAAACCAACAGAGCAGTTCCAGCAGATTTCCAGTTGTTTTGTGAAATGACTGCATGTAATCTATAATCTCTGCATACCTCATGGCTAGTATTGTAAACGAAATTACATTTACTTCAGTTTCTTAATGAACAAATCTTAAGTTCATGGAAGGGCATAATGTTCAATTGGATGTTCAATTCAATATCCAAACCAAAAGGAAAATTGAGCATCAGCATTTTATAAGTGCATAAAACTCAGATTCTTAGACTGATTTGAAACATTTTGTGTCTTTTTATGAATGCTTAAAGTACATTACCGGGAAGAGTCACATTTTCTTCGTGCAAGTTTGAGCCTTTTCTCAGAAGGTTCATGTTCTTTTGAAGCTACAGGCTTTGTCAAGAAAACCATTTACAAAATATTATTTAGAACTACTACAAAACAGAGATCAATGGATTACCTATTATGGTATGTACTGAAACACAGAAAAACACAGTCTGCAAATAAAATGGATTAGATCTTAATTCAACCATGTAGTAAAGTTAGGGATGTAAATATTGTTTTTAAAAAATGTTTAAGCCCTCTAATTCAATTCCTTAAATTCCATTGACTTCAATGCTTTATTGTTTTCTTGAATACAGATAACTTTCTGAATTAGGACCTACATTTCTATACTTAATGGTAGCACAATAAAATATGGAGTTCCACCAAATCTGGTATACAAATAATCCATAGATAGAACATTATTATGGCAGGCTTTCCAGCTATGCAACTAATGAGTCAATACCTTAACTACTGATTAAACCATACAGGGTTCATCTATATGAGCAATTAATGAGAAGCAAAAAACTCCAGAGCTTATTGCTCCAGAGTTTATTGCTCCATGCACCCGGGACTGCACCATGTTGAGCTGGGTCAGAGCAGCCCCAGCTGGCAGGGGGCCCCAGGTGTCAGCCTGCCACCCTGGGGCTGCTCACCACAGTTCAACATGCATGAGGGTTCTCCAGTGTAAGGCTAGCTGGCAGGCAGCCCCTGCACTGAAGTACCCTCATGTCCCAACTAGCCAGGGCAGTATTTACACGTGGGTTGCTGCAAACTAAAAAAACTCCACAGCAGGATAGTACTTGTATTTACAAGTACTACTCTGCTGCAGAGTTTATTAGTTTATTCCAGCCTAATAGGGCTGCACTTGGAGACCTGCAAAGTTTACTGCAGGGCTAATTAGTCTACCCCTTTGTAGAAAAGCAACGTTTACTTCAGAGCTAATTAGTCTACGCTGCAGTAAATGCCTCGTAGATGCACCTACAGGTGTCAGACAGTGATGTACTATGTCTCCCATGGTCCTCCTACTGGTAGTGAATTGGGCAATAAGAAATACCACAGAACAACTAATGGGGAATTCAATTAACCCAGACACAGATGTCGGAGGACTTTGACTTAGTATGTGGGACAAAAGACAGACATTATTTACAGAGACACTGCAGGCCAAAACACATGCCCTCCAATTCTAAGCATAGTTGGGAGGACTGAAAAATCAACAAAATAAAATTAAAACTATGAGAATCAATACCCAGCAAAAGAAGACTAGTAAGTATGGCAAAAGACCAGTTTGGCTTAGCAGAGAATTCTTCAGTGAGCTAAAACACAAAGAGAAAGCTAACCGGAAGTGGAAACTTGGACAAACAATGAGGGAGGTATTGCTTGGGTATGCTGGGAAGAAATCAGGAAGGCCAAAGTGCAAAGTGGCAGCTAGCAAGGGACATGAAGGGTAACAAGAAGGGTAACAAGAAGGATTTCTACAAGTATGTCAGTAACAAGAGGAAGATCAGGGAAAGTGTGGGTCCCTTACTGAATGGGGGAGGCAACCTCGTGACAGATGATGCAGAAAAAGCTTACGTACTCAATGCCTTTTTTACCTTGGTCTTCACAGGCAAGGTCAGCTCCCAGACTACTGGAGCCAGCAGCACAATTTGGGGAGGAGGAGCCAACAATGGCAAAAGAACAGGTTAGGGACTATTTAGAAAAGCTGGATATGTATAAGTCCATGAGGGCTGAATGCAGCATACCAAAGATTGTTGGGGGAGTTGGCCAATGTGATTGCAGAGGTGCTGGCCATTATCTTTAAAAACTTGGGGGGATTGGGAGAGGTCCTGGATGATTGGAAAGGGGCAAATACAGTGCCCATCTTTAAGAAAGGAAAGAAGAAAGATCTGGGGAACTACAGACCTCAACTCATTCCCTGGAAAAATCATGAAGCAAGTCCTCAAGGAATCAATTTCTAAGCACTTCGAGGAGAAGAAGGTGATTAAGAACAGTCAGCATGGATTCACCAAGGGCAAGTCATGCCTGACTAACCTAACTACCTTCTATGATGAGATGACTGGTTCTGTGGATGCGGGGACAGCAGCGGACATGATAGACCTTGACTTTAGCAAGGCTTTTGATACAGTCTCCCACAACATTCTTGCAAGCAAGCTAAGAAAGTATGGGTTGGATGAATGGACTGTAAGGTGGACAAAAAACAGGCAGGATCATTGGGCTCAGAGGATAGTAGTCAATGGCTCGATGTCTAATTGGCAGCTGGTATCAAATGGAGTGCTGAAGGGGTTGGTCCTGGGGCCAGTTTTGTTCAATAGCTTCATCAACAACCTGAAAGATGTGACAGAGTGCACCCTCAGCAAGTTTGCAATGACACCAAGCTGGGGAAAGTAGTACATATGCTGGAAGGTAGGGCTAGGATTCAGAAAGACCTCAACAAATTGGTGGATTGGACCAAAATAAATCTCATGAGGTTCAATAAAGACAAGTGTGAAGTCCTGCACTTAGGAGGGAAGAACGCCATGCACTACTACAGGCTGAGGACTGACTGGCTAAGCAAAAGCTCTGCAGAAAAGGACCTGGGGGTTACAGTGGGCAATAAGCTGAATACGAGCCAGCAGCGTGCCCTTCTTGCAAACAGGCCAACAGCTTGCTGGGCTGCATTATTAGGAACACTGCTACCAAATCAAGGGAAGTGATTATTCCCCTCTATTCAGCACTGATGAGGCCACATCTGGAGTATTATGTCCACTTTAGGGCCCTCACTACAGAAAGAATGTGGACAAACGGAAGAGTCCAGCAGAGGGCAACACAAATGGTTGGTGGCCTGGGGAACATGATTTATGATGAAAGGCTGAGGGAATTGGGCTTATTTAGTTGAAGAAAAGAAGACAAAGGGGATTTAATAGCAACCTTCAACTACCTGAAGCGTGGTGTACAAAGAGGATGGAGCTGGACTGTTCTCATCAGTGGCAGATGACAGAACAAGGAGCAATAATCTGAAGTTGCAGCAAGGAGAGTTTAGGTTAGATATTAGGAAAACTTCTTTCATGAGGAGGGTAGTGAAGCACTGGAACATGTTACCCAAAGAGGTTGGATAATTTCCATCCTTGGAGGTTTTTAAGACCTGGCTAGACAAAGCCTTGGCTGGGATGATCTAGTTGGGGATGCTCCTGCTTTGAGCAGGGGGTTGGACCAGATGACCTCCTGAGATCCCTTCCAGCCCTAATTTCCTATTATTCTAAAAATTACCAATAGCAACTTCTGGAACTGACACGGAAAAGATATAGCACTTCACATATCTTGGGAGCATTGTGTGAAACAGACAAAAACATTAAAGCCAGAACAGAGAAAGACAAACATACCTTTGCACTTCATTACTAATCTAGAGAAACAAACACTACAACTTCCATATATTCATCTCTTAAGTAAAAGCTAATTTACTTTACACTGCTGAAATTTGGAGGCTTATTTCTATCCAACAAATCTAGAAATAATGGAAGAAAAAAAAGGGGATGAACGAGACAGGTTGAGGAAAGACTTAAACAACCAAACAAGGCAGGCACTAGGCTGGAATAGAGAGGCATCTTCCTAAACTATGAGATGAATGGATGTCTATTTTCTACGGAAGCAGATTACTCCTGTAACTGCCTTCCACTTCCCATACTTACATTTATTTGAGATGCACATAAATTTGAGAAAATAGGGCACAGGTGAAGAAACCGTAATAAGAAGCCTAGCAAGAGAAAGCAAAGCAGACATTGAATGTCTTTTGACAAAAATTTCCATTCATCTACTGCAAGGAAAGAAAAGGGGACACTTCACAGGGAAGTGAAAGGCCTGGATCAGATGGCAGTAGTTTTAGACGAATACAATTAATGCTGGGTTGTAGAATCATTGGAAGTTAACACTGCATTATAGCAGTATCTCACCAATAACACTGGTTTATAAGCCAATGCCAGGGTGCACAAAGGAATTGCCACACACACAATTAGGCAGGTTTTAACTTGCTGTCAGCATCTCATTTCTTCACTAAAGACCTTGTAGCTGAACGGCAGGTTTCAGTTTACAGTAACCATAGGGGAGAATCAGTCTGCTGTTTAAACTAACTTATGTCAGGGAGAAATAGGCATACTTGATTCTGTCTGGGATGGTGCTCCTGATTAGGGAGCTATCCCTACACAGTTAGAACTGTTAACTTAAAAAGCTCGGGATTTTACTGTCTGGCCCATCATAGGACCAGGTACCTGTGTTAGAATGCAATTAAAGGTGGGGTAGGCCTGTGGCCATTTCAAATACATAATTTTCATTCCAAAAATTTTAATAGGAGAGAATGATCAGGTTTTGAAGTAGTTGTGGATGCAAGTGTCCAGAAATCAATTGGACCATTAGGTAACCTGGGAATTCAAGAATGGATACATGGTGAAACTTTCCTCTGCTTTGCCGAGTCAAATGTTGCTCTTGCCACTGAAGGGGAAACCATCTTGTGCAGGCCACTCAGTTTTAGATCCCGTGAAGCAAGAGTATAATTATTAGCTATGGAGTCACTCGGACTTCGGTGATAGCGTTGTTCTTTAAATGGAACTGCCAAAGTCCATGACACTCTTTGCATTAAAGGAGGATAACAGCTGTTCTGCAGGACAAGCTAAAATTGGAAAATAGTGATATCATTAGAGTCACTGCACTGTCAAAGAACTGTCTTTCTGTAAATAGCACAAATAACAAAATGTGCTATTTGTTAGCATAAAGTCAATCTAAAAATCCTTGGCTCTGCTACATCATAAATGTGAGTTTGGTAGGTACTAGGAAACCTTTTCCAACAGTTTTTTTCTTTTGAAGCTGGTGTGCTACTGCATAAAAATTCAGTTTCAATTAAATACAATTTTCTAATAAAAGACTTTCATTAGAAAATCCCCAACTCAATCAAGGTTCCCAACGCTCTTGGAACCCGAGCAACAAACTTATTTCATGCAGTCCATTAGATACCCATAAACTTTAGATAAGTATTCCTCTGAGTGGGGTTCAGACCAACAACCTACAGGAGAAAGGCTCTAAAAACAATGAGCTACTTGATCCATCCCTTAAAACAGTATGAATACAACTGAATCCTTATACAACTTCAGGGGACCTAGTGAAATGAATACAACATATTTTGCTTCAGACTTTTTTCAGAATATGCCCAAGATCAAAGGTGGTAGACAAATATACATAAAACTAAAAGCAAACATTTATTATTAAAAGATACCTGTTATGATTCGAGTTGGTTAAAAAAGGTCCATAGAACAGTTTTGCATTTTAAAAATGTTATTCTGTGAACTGTTTCATCAGAAGGGACTTTTCAACAGGAAAAACATGTAATAAATATTTTGCTTCAATTTTAGCATTGTGCTTCACTTTAGTGTTGTAAATTTGTTTCATTTCAATGTCTAGTTTTTTAATATTTTAAATACATTATAATAAAGTATATATGTAAATATAATATTAGTGTTTGACCTTAGCAAAATTAAATGTTTCAGGAATGTTCTTTTGATGTTTCTGAATCAAGATACCTTGGAATAGTCCTTATGGAAAACATTCAAAATTATTTGTCCTAAATAGGGACAAAAGTGAAATTTCAAAATATTAGAATTTTCCCACAGCTGGAAATCTGTTTTTTGACCAGCTCTTGGTACATTTATTCTCTAGAAATCCTTTTTCAGATACAAAAAGTTAAACAAGCCTTATTAAGAAACACCAGAACCAATATTTTTTTCTTGTTTCTCTGCTTTAAAGAATAGCTGCCCATATACAAATGTATCTTATTTTATTTTCTTCAAGTATATATTTATTTGCCTCATTGGTTTGATATATAATGAGCACAGTGATGCCTTTACATTTATTCCAGAATTTGTCTTGAAGTGTAATATAAAAGCAATTTAAAATGAACAGCTCATTTATCATATAACTGCTTATGGTAACATTCTTGAAAAGTGAATTTTGTTACTAATATATTTTAGTCATTATTGGAACTTCATTGAATAACTGTAAAATGTGCAGACCATTGTGGAAAAACAGCGAGTTAGGACTTTTTGTAGCTTTTCAGCTGCTGCAATTTGTGGCCGCCTAAACTATCATGTGGAGGCGGAACCAAATTGTGAGGGGCAAATACTTCCCTTGCTAGCAGTCAGAAAGGCCAGTATACAGCAGCATCCAACTGTTCCCTCCCCAGGAACAAATCTGTCTTTTCAACCAGCTCGACTAATGTATCCAGCAATCCTGCTATAGTCATTTGCCTCTTGGATTCCATTTCCCTGTCCCCATCTCCTCCTTATAGCCTGCTTCAGCATATGCACATAACTAACACTGTGTGTGTCTTCACTGAAAGTAGGCATGTACATGGCTGCAAAATGGAAGCCTTATTTGTCACAGTTTTTTAATTCTTATTCCATCCAACTTTTGTCTTTGATTTTTTCCCCTGCATTTCATTAATTTTAACATTTTCCTCACTCGCTCTATACATCTACCCATTCAACCCTCTGGTAATCAGTGGTGTACATGAGCATTTGAACATTCTTTTCTTATTTTTCTGCCTCTCCCACATTAATAACAGATGTCTTCTTTCTGTTCTATCTCAGAGGAGTTGGGGTACGTTGATTGTTCTCTCTGTTAAGCTCTTCTCCTATCTGGTAGGCCTGTGCGAAGCTGCAAGTATTCGATTCGGATTCAGCCAACTCGGAGGGACAGTAATTTGATTCGGTGATTCGAATCACTGTCCTGATTCAATTTGGACAATTCAGATTCACAGATTTGGCTTCGATTCTGAGATTTGGCCATAGATTATAATGGGGAATCACTAAAATACCTATAATTTTGTCATTTTTTTGCAGATTTGGATGAAAACAGTAGGGATAGTAGCCCCTTCTGAGGGCATGAAGCCTGCCAAATTTCATGTAGGTAGGTGCAGGGGTTTCTGTGAAAGTTCCCCTCAAACTGTTGAAAGCAAAACTCATATCATTTGTGTGTGTTAAGGCAGAGTGGAATAAAAAAATGCAGGGATGGTAACCCCCTCTGTCTCCCCCTTTCCCCCACTGGTCCAGGGTGGCCTGCCTCTGCTTCTTGGGGAAGGGGGCTTTGGAGCAAGAGGGGGACTTCTTTCTGGGCACACTCCCACTGGTACCAGGCTGAGGAGAAACAAGGGCAAGGGGTGCTGCCTCCTGAGATGCAGCAGCATCACCATGGTGGTGAAGTGTTTCAGGTCCTTGCCCCGGCTGATCTGCTTTTGGCAGTGCTGACAGGTAGCATCTGCCACCTCAAAATGATCCCACACTACACTACCCACCCACTTCTGGGTTAAAGGTGGGGACCCTGCCTTATCCCCCTCCTCACCAGGCAGAGGCACAACAACAGGAGGAGCTGAGCCACTTGCCCCCACAACCTCCTCCAAAGTGCCTTCCAGAGAAGGAGACCTGCCTCCAAGGGAACTTTGAAGAGCATGGAGCACAAACTCAGATTCCCCACTCCTTCCCCAGAATTGCCTTCGCTATGGCCCTCATCTCCTCTGCTTCCAGATCCAGCTCCTTCTCTGGCACTGAAAGGCTCATGCTGGGAACTAAAACTGGGGTGGAGAATGTCATGCTGCTGCTGGTTAGTGATGTTATTGGTGGTGGTGCAGGTGCAGGCACTGCTACCACCTTGCTCCCACTAACACCAGAAGACTCATCACTGCCAGAAAAGAGGGTGTGTCTATGTTTGGAGTGGGGGGAACTTGAAGCTCTCCCCCTGCCCCTTTTCCTCCCCTGCCAGAAGACCTGGCACCTGCCTTTCCAGCATGCTTCATAATGTTTGGTGTGCTGCAAAGTGTGTGTGTGTGTGTGTGTGTGTGTGTGTGTGTGTGTGTGTGTGTGTGTGTGTGTGTGTGTGTGTGTGTGTGTGTGTGTGAGAGAGAGAGAGAGAGAGAGAGAGAGAGAGAGAAATATATGCTATGCTTTCCTGCACAGTGATGACACGCTGTCAGAGAAAACACAGATTTATTTTTGTCGGGGGAAAGAATCAAGACAGACTAACAAGAACAAATAAAGAGGATTCTGGGGGAAGAATAAGTTGAAAGGAATGGGTAGGGATAACAATACAGATCATAGGCAAGGGTAAGTAGGAAAGGACTGGATACAACTTACAAAAAGAGAGACTAGTTACCATGAGACTAGATAGCAAGCCAGAGTCTTTCAGATACTGCTGGTCCAAGAGAGAGACAACTCAAAAAAGGCACAGATCACTTCAGATACAGCTTGATATGTTGTTTCTACGTCCCTCCCGCAAAGCACTGTGATTGGAAGGGAACTCAGGGAAAGATCACAATCACTGGTATGACAGCTGAAAAGTGTGCCTGTGTGATAAAGGTGCTTGCTGAAGGCCCTATGAAGATTAGACCAAGTGTTTTTCTGTATTTGCTTAGATATTAAGCTATATGTTGTAGCTAAAAGCCTAATTAAAGTTTAAGATGTAGTGCGGCCTTGTATAAAGTAAGGCCTAGTAAATTTAGCAAAGCCTTGAAGTAGTAAGGCCCTGTGGCGTAGTTAAAATTACCTTATCAAAGGAATGCAAGGCTTGTACTGCTAATTGGTCAGTCTAAGGACAGTTGAAGTGAAAGGAATCTGAGTTGTTGTACGTTATCAGAACCATTCAGAAGCTTTAAATTGGCTAGAATATCTGGAAACCATTCAGAAGGAAGATACAGCTCTGTGAAAGGATTAGTTAGCTGTTGCCTGGATCAGTGGGCCCATGGACCTCGAGGAGCATTCCAGGGTCCTTCCCGGTACCCTTCGAAAAGTGATGATCAGGGACGCCTGACTTCGCTGAACTTTGTGGAAAGAGAAGCTTGCTGTGTATCAGGCATCAGAGGTGCCTGCCGATAAGTTGCCGATGCAAATTGCTTTTGTCTGTCATTGTTTGTTTTGTTACTACACGTAGTTGTGTTTTTGTTAAGTCAATAAACCTTTCTTACCTTTCTACCCCCAACCATACTCTCAATCCCAAACCCTCCGTGGGACAACTGGCCAGCTACAGATGTCAATATCAGAGCATTCCCCGCCCCCCACCCCCCAATCAGCCTTTTCCATATATGGAAGATCACTCCATCCCCCTCCCTCTTCTCAGTTTCTGTTTGCTGCAAGCCGTCCGAATCTCCGAATCAATTCGGAGTTTTTAATGGGTCTCCCAGTTCGATTTGGATTCGGAGATTTGGCCGCCAAATTGGGCCAAATCTCCTCTGAATTGAATCGATTACCAAAGCTTCGCACAGCCATATCGTATGGTACTTATGAGGTCAGCCCATATGTTCCTTCTAGAGATATTCTCACACTCACAGAAAACAAACCTTCACAAGCTTGTGAACTAAGAACACGCTTCACAATGTGGTCTCTGAAGCTCCCATTTTTAATTCATATTCAATTTCCTTTTCATCATTTGTTCTGCTTAATCAATTCCTTCTTAATGCAATAATGTCATTAAAATATACCTAGCTGCCCTTCTCGCCGTGTTAAATCATTACTGCCATCAAGTTTTTAATAATTTAAATAACTTTTACATAGATTTGCAATATGCCACCTTTAATTCTCATATTTTTCTTTCCATTCCCTCAGGAGTTACAATTGAACTGGGTCGGACTCGATGATCTATTGAGGTCCCTTCCGACCCTAACATCTATGAATCTATGAACTCATTGGCTTGACTGGTCACAACATGACCTCTAGAAGGGCAATGTATTAAGACATAAAATAATTTCTTTCCATTTGTCCATACAGCTAAGATTTTCTTCCAACTATCACAAGCTTTAGTAAGAATGATAACAGTACAATTGGCCAATTAAAAATAGGTGATAAATCAAGATTACAACTCTGCTGTGGGTTTTTCTCCTGATTGACATGGCTAATCTTATCAGTAATGAAAAAGACATTCATTCTGCAGTTACAGTGTAATTATACTCCTTTAATTGGCTTTTCAAACTTCACAGACTCTATCCTACTCAAGTTTCTTATACCACACCCAGGCATGATTGCTTTCCAGAAGGCCATTAAACATATGACTGGCATGGGCAACAAGGCTCCAGTATAATAGGGGTATAAAGTTGTTAAAAGTCTTCAAAAAATATGTAAAAACTTCTTTAAATAGCTGCCGAGCATCTGCAGCACCTGCTGAAATCAACAGGAACTATGGATGCACAACACCTTTTAGGATCACATCTGCTCTTTTAAACTCATTCCCTGCCCACCCCACCCCCCAAGCACACTTCGCTGAAGAAGTTTCTGAGCTGCAGTGTAGAACCCATTAGGGTGGTAATATAAATCTGGCCCATGAGTAGGGACCTATCGAAATCACGGTGGAAGTGCACTGTGCAGTGGCTCCTTTAATCTTGCAGTTTCCACTGCATGCCCCTCCACCACTGATGGGTGGAGGGGCCCTACCACTCGCAAAAACTGCAACCTATTTAAAACCACAGTTTTTGCCTCCCCACTAATCGGGCATGAGCATTGGGGCCCCTCCACCAATTAGCAGCAGAGCAAGAGTGGTGTCTGGGTGAAACTGCAAGATTAAAGGAGTCGTCATGCGATGCACTTATGCTATGATTTTAGTAGGTCCCTACCCATGCAGAATTAACATACGTGGCACAGACAGAAGTTATATTTGTCATGTGATCACCCCCCTGACAGCACTCTACAGCCGTGCCATGACACACATGTACAGTTCCAGAGCACTTTCAAAGTGGCCAACAGTGCAAAAAATTAACCCTTATCAAATGAGGGATCAAATGAAGGCACTCCACTTGTGTTCCCTAGAATGAATCTGTGGTGTTACTGGAGCTATCAGCAGG